CCGCCTGGAATATGCCGGAGGATGTGTGGAGACCAAACGGTAGGAAGTTCTATTGATATAGTCCCCATAGGGTGTTGATGGTGGTGAATTGCCGGCAGGTTGGGGAGAGACGAATCCGGAGGTATCAATTAGCCAATTCAACCTTCGAGAAGCATGTGCTTCTACTACCAGCAGTTGTAGTGATGTGTTATACTACTCACAAGTGAATAGTACGCAAAATAATGCGATCAGCAGTTCCTTTCAACCCAAAAATGTACAAGACCTGTTGGAGAAAACTGCTGCTGTTCAGTATAGTGAATACAAAAATGCGTAACTAATAGTGAACTGTTCCATCAGTTATCCAGTGTGCGTATGTGTAGGAACTCTGCAAACTTGTTCCGAATGAGATATTTTGTTATATGAATGACAATTTAACCATATCCTGACCGTTATTGGCAATAAATGAACATCCTCGACCAGCACCGCCTTCTGGAATTATAACAATTGATGCCGTGACCAGGAACAGGATGGAGGTTCCGTGGCCTGATACCCTCGAGGATGGAGACGCGCGGACGTTCCTGGGGGAGTTCGAGGACGTCGCAGAGCTGGTGGGAACTCGGTCGGACCGGGGTCCGTTGACGACCCTCCGAGCGCTTCTCAAGGGCCGAGCGCGGGCAGTGTTGGATGCGGTGCGAAGAGACCCGGAGGAGATGGAATGGGCGCTGCGAAGGATGCCCCAATCGCTGGATTTGACAACCCGGCCGATCGCCAGCAGGCGTTGCGGAGCTTCAGGACGGCGCAGCTCGGAGTTGCTGTGGCCCCTTTGTCGCATATCGTCGCCCTGTTGAATCGAGCGCTCCGACCATTGGAAGATGCGGCGTGTACGGATTTATTGCTCGATGGTTTCACGGAGAGCCGGCCGAAAGATCTGCGCGAGACCGCATGGATAATTAATGCCGAGAAGATCATAGATGCTTCCAAACTGGCGGATGTGTTGAGGAAATTCACCTGAAAGAAAATGACACCTGTCTAGCCAACCGAAGACCCTGGAAGCCAGCCCCTTGGAAGTACGGCAACTCTCAAAAAACTAACGGAGGTGGCAGCCATCCGAACCGATTTCAATCAGAGAGCATTCGAGAATGGGGATTTTGAGCTCGAAGATCCTGAGCGCTGGCAGAAAAATTGCCCCGAAACACAACGCAAGTTGTTTCTGAGAGAACCCCTGTGTGCGTTAAAATCGGTTTCCCCAGACAAAGCTCACTCCGGAACGAGTGATAGTTGTTCAGTCCAGACCCATGTGGAGATAGGGGATCAGAAAGTGCCGTGTTTGTCTGACACATGTGCGGCGGTTTATACAGCAGAACTTCAGTCAACTTTCAGTCATTAGAAGCTTCGAATACGGCAGAGAAGACTGTTGACGAAAACGAGCCGCAATTTGGCAGTGCAGCAACTCGAACTTTCTCTGCTGGGAACATGACGGACAGGCAAAATTTCGCCAGTTCGCGAAACAATATCATAAGCAAGTGAAGAAAACCGGTGAAATGGAAACCAAGCGCACTTCTGAAAAAGTCAGAATCAGAGTACTAACACCATGTCGGGGGCCGTACCGGTGACCCTGAAGCAGCGAAGTTACTTCCTGGATGGCGAAGTTTACGTAGAATCAGGATCCCAATTAACATGTTTCAGGAGATAAGTGGCGACAGAGACGTGTATCGAAGTGAACACGATAGATGGCACCGAGATCGAAGCCTCACGCCAAAAATTCGTCCGAAATCAACCGGCTGGTCGGGTCACCATAAATCCATCACGAAGCCACAAGAAACTGCCAACCAAATGCGGACCCGTTCGGACTCTCAGAAGAAAGAACTCATTGCCCGGTGCATGCAGAGTTCCTTTTCGCCGGGGGAGGGGTGTTGTGAGATACTACTCACAAGTGAGTAGTACGCAAAATAATGCGATCAGCAGTTCCTTTCAGCCAAAAATGAACAAGATCTGTTGGAGCAAACAGGTGCTGTTTGATACGGTGAGCACAAGAATGCGCATCTGATAGTGGACCACTCCATTACACATTCGGTGTGTTTGCAGGAATTCTGCAAACTTGTTCCGAATGAGATATTTTGTTATATGAATGACAATTTAGCCATATCCTGACCGTTATTGGCAATAAATGAACATCCTCGACCAGCACCGCCTTTTGGAATTATAACAGTAGTACTTATACTACTACTACACAGTGCGATTCCTTCATCGTTTCACATTGTCTTTCCCCCTTCATTCGTGACCTCAAACAATGAAATTTCTTCTGGCCCTCTCTGCAAGCTGATCGGTCATTTTCCACATGTTGTGCAACTTGAAATCCCTCAACCTGGTACCAGACTGTTTGATCAACGTCTCGTAATGTTTTTGGAGCTCTTGCTGTCACCTGTTGTTCAGTAGTGCTATATTGGCCATCCTGATGCTCATGTCGGAGTTCACTGGACATGCTAAAGACTCGCGGCTGTGGATTCTCTCTCTGGGCAAGCATCATATCCCTTGTTGAAGCCGAGCCATCTAACCGATCGATGAATGCACTCGATAGATTGTGTGGTTGTTGTACACGCACAGGAGGACAAGTTATGAATCCTATACTGCTTAAGCGTTGACAGAGAATCATCACAGGACAATCAGTTATGCAGCGATGCATCACCCGGGCATTCAATTAAACTGGTGGCAGAACAATCTTAAAATTGAAACAATTTGCACATGTGAAAGACCATAGTTTTCAAACTACTTTTTTGAAATTCTATTCGATAAGTGAAAAAAGTGAACCAGAAAACAAGTGCGAGATTTACGCTGTAGTTGAATCGATCAGGTCGATAGCCAAACGGTGCTGACGTTATCTGATGTCAGACCAGTGATTCACATTGCTTGCTCGATCGTTTTGTGTCACTACTGCGGAAACGTCCATCATGGGTTGGATTTTTCATCCCATCAAAGTTGATCAGCTTTCGTTGGTACAGTTCAATGTGCACTGTCGTTTATATAGGGCCACCTAAGTGCACCCCGGGTAGGCTACCTGGTTTTAATGTGTGGAACCAAAACTCAACGCGTTTCTGTAAGAGCTAGCAATAGATCAAAAGATAAAAATTGATGACAAATCAGCATAGATATGATGATTGGACAGCTGTACAATTATTTCCGTACTGGGCCAACTGTATCAAGCCGGATGAGGAATTGGTTCCCGGTTCCCTTTACGCAGCGCACATCTCAAATGAAATGAGATCTATACCTGGTTATATGTCCATCTATTGAAGCAAACCGTTCGGTTGAGCTGGCGAACGAATCATGCCGACAATGCCAGCCTGAAAGCCTCTCGTAGCAACCGCATAACAGGTAACAACAAAAACGACGGACTTATGACGTATGATGATTGAGGATAACGAACGAATGCTTATTGTGGGCCAGGTAGCTACACTAATTTATGCCTAGGCAATATGACCCTACAGAAGTGTAGAAATTGTAGTATGCACTGATCACGAAATACGAATCATGGATTAGGAATCACAGACGCCACGCAAGCATTGATTTACACGAGAATTAGAAAGACAGTATCCCATGTAACACAGACGCAAAGAAAAGGTCAAAGGAATAGCAGTTCGTTTATTGAAACAAATAAGGGGGTTTAAATAATAGATACAAAGCAAGTTCATTGGTCACCTAAGCCTCTGCCAATCGTGTGTTACTATTTCTGGCGTCGTACAGCTTCTGTCTGGACCACACGATTTCTGATTGGCTGGTTTAATCGGCCTATGGTTTGTAGTCCAGAAGCTGTAAGGCGTAGGCGTTTTGCTGATGTCAGATAGGAAGCTTGATTAATCACAGTTGTCCGAAAACTGTAATGTGTCGCCCCGAGGTTCGCGTCATCTCGTAGGCTAGGATCACCACAAGAAGGTAGAATGAGACGCTGCTCCCGGAAAGTGGCGTTTGCGATGCTTCATATGTGCCTGAGGTCATCATACGTGTTTCCATTGGTCCAGACTTGTGTTCTTGATGCCTCGATTTCCCTATCGATCAATACAGATTGTTCCACTACCCTTTTTCGGTCGAATTCGTTTTGATCAACATTATTCTACCTGATTTTTTGCACCACCATTGTTTCCGTCTTCGCTCGCTAGTGCGCTAAAATCCAAGGGGCAAATTAATCCACTACAGTTCAGGAATTATCCACATTACATGGCTATCAATATCGGGGTTGCATCAGCCTGAACAAGATGCCAGTTCACGTGTTTTTCTAAAACCGGGGGGCAAACGGAACAAAACAAACGCAGTCGGTCAGAGTTCTGATTTGAGAAATCAAAAATAACTACCAAAAACTACCGAAAATCATTTCAAATAGTACGATGGTTCATCAGACAATTGAACCATCTTCACAAATGATTGGTCTGGCACAAATCCTTTCTAACTGTTAGAAAAACAAATATTGTTTTGGTCTATCGCAACATTCTGTTAGGGTTGTTATTTTCTTACCTACCCACCAGCTGCAATGTCATATACACTGGGCACGATGCTGTTAGATTAGACAAGTTAATGAGGTTTCCAAACTGCCATACTTCATTTAACTGTATAAGTTTTCCACAGATTTCGAGCTGGATTGAATTGGAAACTGCCTTCCAGCGAACTGGAACCTATACAAGCTCAATATTCCTTTGAATTTGCCATGGTGACTAGAATACAAAAAGTAGGGTTCTAAATAAAATCCAGATAGAAGTGTAATAGGGGTGTAGAAAAAGCCCATTGTGCTTCTGTCTTCGTCAATCAAGCGGTCTTTATGAGTAAAGCTAAAAGTAGCCTCCTGTAAGTGGTCAGACTGATGTTGACACAAGGTTTTGAAGATGTCTTTGAATTCAGATTTGTAATTTTGTTCCCTGTTCAGCTTCTGACTTAAAACTTCTCGGTTCACTGCTCATATTCGTCGCGGGGACTCCGTTTTGTGATCCAGACTTACGTGACCGCATTCCAGGCACGACCAGGTGCAGCTTCATGTCATCCAATCATCGTTCAGGAAGCTCGGTCAATGGTAAACCGGGCGAACATGACATCCGAGTTAGTACATATGATGCGTCTACACAGATGGTTATGTGATTGGACAACGGCCCTTCAACCAATGATATGGCCTATTACCTTCCATAAAACATGCTCTAATTCTATCAATAAACATAAGCATTTGCTGCTATCAATTCCTCGTGTACTTCATTGGTGTCCGCAGTTCGGATTTGAGCCAATCCAGTTCTGAGCATTACAGTACGGGTTCTCGTATTCTTACATTCAGTACTATTCCGATTACCACAATCCGAGTGCTGCTAACGTTTTGATACACTGAATAGATTGTTCATTATCCACATTTAACTCAGTTATTTGTGATTATTGTAGTGGGATACGTCATATAGCCTTGGACTCATCATTCTTCAAACTTCATCTTCACAATCCGCAGTTCTTCCAAACAACCTAACACCCAGGAAGCACTAGAGTCGATTTTTGCTCTCATTAGAGCTCATCGTTAGTTCATACCCACCATCCCCTACGGGACTTAACCGCATCGCATGGAAGATATCTGTTACTAACCAACTAAAACCGAGAATGATCGTAACGATCAGTTCATATGTGTTCAAATTTCGTCTTCAGGTATAGTGGGGTCAATTCTATCTGGAATAATAGCAACTAACAGAGCCACAGGTAACTGTGTACATTCCAGATTGTTTCACTTTTTGCAAATCGTTCGAACCCAGATGCTAAGATACACTATCTCTTAGGAATACCTGCTTCGGAGCCCACAAAAGAGCATCACATGTTTCAGCGCGTAGCTGTTGGACTCTAAGACAACATCAGAAAGGAAGCGAATATGATTCCCCGTAGATCAATCATCATCATCGTCACAGTCATCATCCGAATCAGTATCGGATATCGAAATACAGTGAAGCACACTTCACTGATGGCTGCTGCAGATTCAGTAGGTGAGCATTAAAAATGACCACC